TTCGGCGTTCCGCCACCAGAAACGGTTCCGCCCAAAGTGTTCTCCTTCCAGTTCACTAAACAGGCGTTCGAAGAGGTCCTTCGAACGGTGGTCATTTCTCAGCGCGTCCTCTTTTGGCTTCCCCTCTCATCTTCAAAGGAACCACAAACTACAAATCCACCTTTAGCGGCCGCCAAGATGGGAAGCCAACCCAAAGGTCAGATCATCGATCCGGTCGGTTCGCTTTGAACAACTACCAGGTCCTCCAGCAGAGAGGTTAGAATAAGGGTACCCACCTTTTTTTCTGCAGTCTATTTTAGTAGAGGAACTTTCCTCCCGAACCCAAAAAAGTGGGTAAAGTAAAGTTGGCACCTAGCTGGGTAAGGGTAGCATCTTTCTTCTGTAGTGTATTTCAATAGGGGAACCCTCTCCAAAAAAGGACGGTACAAGGGCCTGAACCCAATCGCTGGGGGACCTAGGTTACCATCCAGCTTTTTCCTATCTATTTCGGGGGTTTCTTTTTCGACCCACAAAAGTGGGTGAGAAAGTTGGCACTGAGTTGGGAGAAGTTGGCACCTACCTTGACAGGCCTCGAAAAAAATGGCACGCTCCTGGCTGCTTCCCTCGTCCGCGGCCGGCGAAATCGCGCGTCCGCCGCCCGCCTTCTGCGCCACCTGGCGGCAGGCGCACTCCACCACCATGAGGTCGGAGCGGCTCAGCGCCTGAGCCGGCGCAAGGCGCCAGGCGCCCAGGGGCGGAGAGGGGCGCCGGAGGCAACAAGTCTGGGCTCAGCTGTACCATATCTCGGTTGCTGTTGAAGCCCTGCTAAAAGTGACGAGCTGTTAGTGGTTTCATACGGAAAACCCATTGGTTGGCAAGAAGTTGAAGTCCTAACATGTCTTAACATCCAAGCAAAAAGCACCAAAGATATACCAGACCTATCTGAAAAAAGCACGGCGTATAGGAGCTGATCACCAGCCAAGCTCGTGGGTCTCCTTTGTTTTACAGCAGCTGGGTCCAAACCAGCAGAGAGCTTGGAATAAGGGTACCCACTTTTCTTCTGTAGTCCACTTTAGGGGAACCCTCCCAACCAAAAAAGTTGGTGAGAAAGGGCACCTAGCTGGGGGACCCAGAAGCGCAAACCAGCAAGCTCCGAGGGCGGCTCAATGCCGGCCGCTTTGAACAAGTTGAAACCCTCTGAAAGAGCACCGTCCAGCCGGTTTCAAACAAAAACCAACTGACAAGCCACCTGAAGGTATCTTAAAGCACCACCAACCCATGGGGTTGGTTGATCTGCCACATTTGCCAAAAATAACTGCCTCACGTTTGGCTTGAAACGATGGTCGCGAGACCTTCCCAGGGCTCAGACTTCGGACTGAAGCCCTTCGCCCGGACGCGAAACAAGTGGGGCACTACCGCAGGTGACCTTTTGAAAAAACAGATCCGCCTGGTAAATGGCAGGAAGCAAATCTAAACCAGTGGAACCCACCTATTTCTACCCAAAGTAACCTAAAAAGGACACCTATGGGCACTACAAGGTAAGACATCCCCGAAAGATTGGGAGAAAGAGACACTGCTGGAAACAGCCGCCTGAAGGCTCTTTATGAGAGCAAATTCCAGGGAAGCACGATTCCCAGATTGCAAATCGTGCCTGAAAAAGCGTTCATCCCGGATGTGAGGTGATAAAAACAGGAAAAAACAGGGGAAAAAACAAATAAGAAGAACAAAAACACGGCATGAGCCGATCTGTGCATAAAACCTGCCCGACATTGCACCCACCCACACCCATGGCAGCCCCATGGCCACTCTAAACGGCCCAATTGTATGATCATTTGCTAACCCAGGCAACCAAGCAAATGCGCCTTCGGCAAACACCATAAACAGACTGCGAGCTCCTCAGTTTCCCCATGAAACATATATTCAGTTCAGGGATGCCAGTCAGCTTCTCCCTAATTGTTGCTCTGGATTGGTGGTTTGGTAGGGCTGGTTTCCTATTTACCCTTTGCAAAAGCCAGGGCTTCAAATAGGGCTCCCTGAGCCTGCCTGCAAATCCGTGGACTGCAGCGCCGAGCTGATGCGCTGCAACTGCTGGAGCCGCAGCTGGAAGAAAACCCGCTTCCTGGTGCATGTTACCCATCGGGAAACCAAGGGCTCTTTTCTTTTGGGGGGGGGGGGGTTGCAAGGGATGCATGTCAATATGAGGACACAATTTTACCATGTTGCTCCATTTGTTCTGAAAGTGCCCAGAACTCCAGTGTAATTTGATTAAGTCAGCCATAGTCCATTCCGCGTTGTAAGGCGCCATTTGGGAGACACATTCCCTTATCTTGAGTGTCAAGGGGGTCCTAAGTTGATTCCAATGCAAGCAAGGATCGCATATATCAAAGAAATATTATACGCATCACCTCCTCCTAGTGAGGTTGAAGAAACGGTCTGAAACAGGACCCCAAGGCCCTTTTTCTTGCTTCCAATGGCCAAAAAGCTCTCTCTTTCGGTCACATCTTGCTGTAGCGTGATGTCTGTCGGTGTGTTTGCTGCTCATGTTCTGGAACTCTAGACTGCACGGCTCAGCGATCCTATGGCAGTACAACAGGATCGCGTGTTCTTCCCAGCTTGGGTTCTGAAAAAAAGAAGTATTCTACTCACTTCCTGAGTAGATGGCAACCAAAGTGACCAAACCTTTTGTCTAAGCCACTAACATGATCCAAATTCCCAAAAAATGACTAGAGGCCAAGAACTCAGGCACTGAGTCTTTGAGCTCTACATGGGTGAATATTTTTTCAACTCGCGACCCTTTGGCCATCAGTTCGGTGGAGGGATTCATGTCCACCACTGGCTAGGTCCTCCAGATCTGAGAGGTTATAAGTTGGTACCCACTTTTTCAGGACGTCTATTTTAGCAGGGGGGGTTCCTCCCAACCCAAAAAGTGGGTTATAAAGGGCACCACTCGCTGGGGGCCCTAGTGGCAAACCAGCTCAGTGCCAGCTGCTTTGAACACTACTGGGGCGGGGGGAGGCGGGGGGAGGGGGGGGGAGGGGGTGGGAGGGGGGGGGGAGGGGGGGGGGAGGGGGGGGGAGGGGGTTCCCTACAAACCATGGGCCTCATTCTTCGCAGCTCGAGCTCACGCGCAACTTCATGCGAGTCCTCTGCAACTCCTCCACATGCCTCAGGCCCATGATCAGCCGCAGCGCCGCCGGGATGCACTTGTAGTAGCCTCCGGCGCAAAAAAAAATAAACCACGGCTAGTGTTGACCCCTTAAACTAGTCAACCCAAAAAGGTAGCTAATGTTGACCCCATATATCAATCAACCCCAAAAAAAGGTGTTGATTCCCCGAATTGCACCCATGGAAAAGCACCCCCTATCAATAAATTGGGGTTGATTCATATAGAGTCAAACGAAGGCCAAGGGATTCAGCCAGCAGGAAGTGAACCCTCTTCAACATAGATATTCGAGGCAGCGCTCACGGGGGATTCCAGAAGAGTTCATAGGAGCGGTATCGGATCTCTGCAAAAGAACCAGCTCTCGGGCCAGACCTGTACCCAACACAAGCAGCAAGTCGTTTGTTTTTCCTCCCTCGGGATGCCTCTAAGAGGTAGCCCTCGGAACTTGTATTTGTTGAGCGTTGCTGATTTTGAGGTAGTCGTGCGCACCACGCAAGCATGCTGTACCCTGCACAGTTGTCTCATTCGGCCGACTTGCCATGTGTTCTTTTTGTGTCGTTTTGTTTTGATTTTTTGCGGAATGGCAAGGAACTGTGGATGCTTTCCGGGAGCAAGGCACAATGCGTTGAGTGCATTGGGATGGGTTCATGCTTGTTTCCTTCGCTGCATTTTGCTGAAGGAATGGTTGTGTTACTTGGTGCATGACCCATAATTATGAACTGATTGTATTTGGTCACTCCCATGTCCAAGCCCTGGTTATGAGTGTTGTATATCATTTGACCCGTCCTTGAAATATCCTGAGTGGGCGGACGAGGGATTCATGAAGAAATCAACCTTGGTCGTATCGGTATGGATGCCTTACAAGGTTGGGCAAGATCCCCATGTTCAATACTCAAGGCACGCAACAAGTGTCTGTGTCGCAAAATGGAACCCCCCGCCCAAAAAACAATGGCGCAACGTGTTTCCTCTTGGTAAAGCGAACCAACAAAAGGTTCTCCAAAAAAAGACACACACACACACCACATACACCCATCGCAATATCAAAGCCATGGGAAACGCCCTGGGCGTGAAAGATGTCGTGTGCTTGGCCCAGGAGCAGGAGCCAGCGCGCTGCAAAGTGGCCGGTACCAGCCATGACCTTGGCAGTGGAACAATGCCAGGGGCCTAGGGTTCAACCCCATTTAAAATAATGGCTGACCCAACATGGATGACAATCCTTAGGTAAACAATGGTGATTGTATAGGTATGGGTCAAACTCAAACCGCCAGGAATTGGACCGCAGGTTTTAGTCCTTGGTTCAATTTACCGAAGTTCCACCTATTTTTGACCCACTGCCATATTGAACCCCCCATTGTTTTGATGTTGGTTTGCACCCCGGCAAAAAAATACATCTCGTTCGGCCAAGAACGTTTGCGGAAAATCAGAGAACTGATTCTGGCCCAAGGAGCAATGTGCGCACAAGAAATCCATGGGATTGTTATTGGGTCCAAAGCCAAGCCCTGAGAGCCAACAAAAATGCCGGAGCCCAGCTATAAACCTATGGGGCCTTATGAACTGCACATACTGTGGATGGGCGAAATCCATTTCGCACCACCCAAGAAACCCTGGAATGATGATTCCCCTGCAAATACCAACAAACAATGGGTTTCCATTGGTTTCAAAGTGGTGCGAAATGGATTTCGCAACCATCCACAGTATTTGCACAGTTGCTATGGATTGTTTGTTTGGCCCCTTCCATAGGCTTCCCATCTGATTTTTGCTCTTTCTGAGGCCACGGCTCGTCGGTTTGTTTCCTCACATCTCCGTTGGCGAGAATCATCGGAAGCAACACCTCGTAGAGCATGGGAGGCTTGTGGTG